GAAGGATTTTTTGAAAATGGGAAGTGTTGGGAAGTGAAAAGGGATGCATTTCCGATCATTTCCACTCAAAATCATATTGGGCGATTTTCTAGCAGAAACCGTTTCCCGTCCTTTAGAACAAGGTGTATCAACATTGAATGGTACTAATTTCAATGTTGAAGTTCGAACAAAATTTGGCTATTCAATTTTGAATATGATCCAATTTATTCAAATGAATCAGATTGATAAAAATTTTCATCTTTCTGCTCATACAATCTTCTGTATTGATTCGATTGATTTGAAGAAAACCGGTCCTGATGAATCTATCAACAGCATTCAAAAACTTTTATTTAGCGTTATTGTCCCGCCAATTGACACTGCGTTTTTTCCTTCTTTCTCGCTAGGCAATTCTGTTTCTTTTCTGCCCCATGTCCTTTCTTCTCCTGATGGAAACTCAGCTATGACTGTTCAGCAGCATCTTCGTCCCCAGGCTTGTTTCTGGCGCCCAAACCTCTGGAGTCCTAGTTTTGAATTTTAACATCCAAAGTCTTACAGCAAATCTAGACATGCTATCTCAGATAGTTCTTTCGTGTAAACCTCATATTGTCTGCCTACAAGAAACATTTCTCTCGGATGTAATTTTCACCAACGAGTGTAAAATTGGCGGTTACACAATGTACCGTCGTGATCACAGAGGGGGTGGAGTTTCTATATGTGTCAGCGATTTACTTTCACAGTCTACGACGGGATATGACTCACTTACTGAATCTCTAATGGTATCTATTACGATTAATAACGAAATCTATTTGGTTTGTAATTCATATCGGCCACCTAATCCGCAAGTTATTTCTTACTTTGCTAAACCTGAATCCTTTATTCTGGCTAGTTTGCCCGCTGTGTATCAACACATCTTAGTAGTGGGTGATTTCAATGCTGATCCCATCAATAATCCTAATATGTTAACGGATTAAATAGTTTTGCACAGCTTTTTGGTTTAAGGAGTGATCCCTCTGTCTTTACTACCATCAACCTAACTGCGCTAGATTATGTTCTGTATCCCTGTTCCTGGAAACATCCACAAGTTTTCGATCAACCCTCTATTAGGCAGTCTGTTCATTTTTCATTATTTTATTCTTTCGATATTTCTGTTAAACCTCTTCCCAAAACAAAGTTTAGGCTAGTCCGTGATTTCTCTAAGTGTGATTTAACTCTACTTTACTGTGGAACATAACGTAACAGCAAAGTAACGTAAAACAAACCACATCCTTAATAGAATATAACGAAGGATATTTTTTTGATTAGATTGTTATTTCCACTACAGCACGTAAAAAATTGAACGGTATCAGTTAGGAATCAGTTCAGTAGTAGAATGCTCACCTGCTACACAAGCGACAGGGGTTTTGTATTATGGCTGAAATAGATACTGACGTTCACTTACGAACGATGATAGTTATTATTTGAGTACTAATAGGTTTATTTAACAACAGCACTACGATCAGGGTTCAAATATGAGACGTGCGATATCCTATGCTATGTTCTTAACAAGTTATCTGTGACAGGCTAGAAATTTAAAAGGCCATCTTCTAATATCTGCTACTAACACAATATATTGACTAGTTAAGTCTTAAAAAAAGCAGAAAAGTGATGCTTTTGTAGCCGAAAGTGGATATTTTATAGCTCATAACTTATATTTTTTAATTTTCTTTTTCTGATTATTCTAAAGCTGTTTAGATAAAAAGGGATAAAGAAATCAAGTGGTTTTATGTTTCCTGCCGAAAAACATCAAACGAAAAGACTTGTCAGTGTGATAAAGAAAAGAAACATGTAAAAACAAATCATTAGCTCGTTGTTGTCCAACAGGGTAAAATAAACTCTTTCTAAAATTTTATTCTTCTCTTTTCTTATGTAAGTTCATTATCAAGACTGATAAAAATTTCTGGCTCAGGGTACCATCGCCAAGAAATTGCTGATATTTCATTCTAGGACATTTTCTGGATAAAATAGGTCTTCAGTGTTGACAGATTTTCACACTCTTCAATAGCTTTAATCTCACGCGAACTTTGCGTGAATATTCTTCTATGATATTAATGCAAAATAGAACAAAGCTGTCTGGACTTCATCATAGGATTTTAGAATAAAAAACGTATTCTTTGCTATTAAAAAGCATATGCGAAATCAGTTTATGGAACATCGTCAAACCACGCATAAAACGACAAATTTTGAATGAAAAAAAATTCTTAATCAAAAGTTTCAACTCAAAAAAATCTATTATTCCCATCCAATGCTAAAATTGTTGCTTTCCTCGAGTTGAAAATGCGGTTTTCGTCTAAAATACCGAGTTTTAGAAAGTACATGCTGTGGTAACTTAGAGTCTCCTTCGATTGCGCTAATTTTTTCACTACTGCACAGATTATGTAATGAAAAGCACTTTATAGTTATTAATTCATACACAATACTATGCAAAACCAAAATATTTAGGTCAATCATTAGAAGTAATATTTTTATCGCCCATTTTGTAAAAAGTGCATTTCATGATCTGACAAGTTCTTACTGACTCATTCTTTCACACAATTTGTATTATTCACCATTAGAATTCTTTACAAATTAGTTTGTCAATACCAAAGTGCTTCTTGAAACAAACAGGATTATTTCTTTATGTTGACGTCAAATTTTTGATCATCTTTTATGGTAGAGAGACTCTTATATTCATCTATTCATCAAACGGGTATATAGATTAGGGATTGTACTTCTGTATTACATCTTAATATGTGCCGGAAAGAGGAAAAAATAAGGGAAAAAAATATTATAAATAGTATGAACACAATAAAATATAAAATTTAAATAAAAAAACCATTAAAAGCCGTTGCACGAAAAGAGCAACCGAATTGCGGACACACTTTCTATTCGATGTTTGAACATTTGGAAAAAATTATATCGTAAGTAGAAGCTAGAGACGAGTGAACAACTTTTGCATAAATATTTCTATATGTAACACGTCTATATTTTATTTATTATGACACATATTTATTTTGGAACTTTTATAGAGGTTTCTTTTGATAGATGTAGATTTTTTAGCATAAATTTCTTCTTTTCCAGTTACCAAACTATTTTCAGTCATAACAAATATCATAGCTGATTCGTTAAATTTCATCGAATGACGTATAACATAAAAAAAGTAGTGAGTAAAAGTTTTGAAGTTAAAATATCACCGGAGTGGGTGCTCAGCTACTTTGGACCGAAAGACCTTTTTCTAAGACATTTCATTTTCGATGTGATAGACTTTTCCTTTAGAAATCATGGAATTTTTCGAAAAGTTTTAACAGCTTAGAATCTATACTATTTAATTTTATTTATATCTCGGCTCAAAAAGTAGATTGGGAGCTCATATCAACCGTTAATAAGCACTATCTATTGACAAAAGTAAATGGACGTCTAATATGCACATGCACAAATTCTCAAAACGAGAGAATAATTCATACTTTTTGGCGCGTATTTCTGTGAGGATCAGAAATACTTGGCATTTTCGTCGCATATTCATTGAAGAACTAACGAATATGTTTGAACAGACTTTAACAATATTGAAAGATAAACATCGCACAGTATAAACTTGTCATCTGTCGAATGAAATCTTGACACTTGATAGGCGTGTAAATACATGTGCCAAAGTAGCTTGGCGCATCTACTGTGTGATGTATCGAAGAAATGTTCATTTATATTTAAAAACGACACATACAAAAAATAATGTAAAGATTTTTTTGATGAGCAATTTGTCTCTAAATATTATTTGGTTCGTTAATTATGAGTTTCAATACGGCAGACATTAAGCAATGCGTTTCACAAAAAATCTTTTATATCTTTGACTCAATAGGTAACGTCTTCCGTATTGTAATGCACTAACCTCCAATATATCACGATACATTATTCTTTTCTTTCTCAGTTCAATGAGATATCAGAATAAAATATGTTATAACACATTTAACATGTTATACCATTAGAAAATTCATTTCACTTTTTTAATATGCACTGTGCAACTTTCATACGCAACATACCCGTTACAGTGTTAGTAATACTAGAAGTTTTAGATGAGATTATGGACGTGATAGTGAACATCTCGGATGACTAAATATGAGATATCTGGTCTACTTTCAAGTATACGCAATGGTAAAGACTAAAATCAGAAATTCATCCTGACCACCAGTCTCTAGAATAATATCAACAAATCATTGTTAAATGAAACACATTTTATTAAATAAAAACTTGCTTTTGCGTTTTTCTAAGACTGTTTTTTAGCTTTGAGCTTTCACGACGAAGTCAAATTTTAAAATTATCCTTCTGTCCCGTATAGAAATTGAGATTTTGTAAAAAATAATTCGATATTTTGCTCGCTTTGAGAGTTCTACTTGTATATCTCGTTATAAATCGCAATCGTTAGTCGTGAGATGATTAGTCTTTTGCATCAATAGAGAGAAAGATGCAATGTTTTTTACATACTGAATTAAATGTCATGATTTGTTTTCAGATTAGACAACAATGAATACCCAATTGGAGAAAAGATTATTAATAATCACCGACGAGTATACGCTCGATCAACCGCAATCAATTAAATGGCGAGTATTTCATTGTACTCATTATATGCTCGGTGGTCTTTTGTTTATTACCGGTTCTTGTATATATTTTCCATTGATAATTAATCAAAATTTTAATTCACCTAACGGTGGTGGATGGTTATTTACAATTGGATCATTTTTCTTTTTGCTAGCTGATATACAAGAATGGTATTCTTATCGTATTGGCTATTATTTTAAAAAATATCGTACAGTCTATGAGACTATTGATGATGATTTGATTCATTATTCAAATAATACACCTAGAGGAAAATATGAACAAGCAATAACTGAATTAAATCTTTTTATGTCAGTTTGCGGTAGTGCTTTGTATCTAACTGGTTCAATATTTTTTCTACAAATGTTTGCCAAATATCTAATAATAGGAGAATGGTTATTTATTATTGGATCTGCAGTTATTTATATATCACAATGTTGGAAACTATGGCGTTCTGGATGTACAAATGTTCATAATCGTCAGGATCAAACATTTTCCATCTACAATTTACTAAATAATATACCAACTTTCGGTGTTGATTTCTTTGCTGCAATCGGTGGTATTTTTTATTTTATGGGCACAGTATTATACTTACCAACATTCAATAAATCGGACTGGGATGAACCGAGAGTATCGAGGTTGTTTGTTGCCGGTGGTATATGTTTTACAATTAGTGGATTATGTTTAATATATCGATATTATTCGACAAGACAATTATAGACTTTGTGAGACAAACGTTCTAAACAACATCAGACATCGTTCGCATTAAGCATTTCAGACGATGTAGGAATACCATTTATTACATATCAAATATAGTGAAGTAAAAACAGTATTTTAACAGTAGCTGTATGTAAACTTCTTCCAATTTTATTTATTCCAACATTTCAAAAATTTTTATTTTTACTTTCCACGAATATAAAAATGTACAAATAAATTAATATGAACTGCAACGATAACGGGAATATTTATGAATATGCCCATGCAGGCATTTTTTTGACCTAACGCACTGGGAAACGCGTTTTTTTTTGCACCAAAAATGCGTTTGAACGCGTTCCACTACGCTTGAAACGCGTTTGGATGCGTTAGACAGAAGTAAATGCTGTTAAACGCGTCATATATCAACGCGTTTAGATGCGTTAATCAACTCTGAACGCGTTTAAATGTGTTAGAACTAAACGCGTCTGACTGCGTCAAAAATTAACTCGTTAGAAACCTGCGAAAACAGACTCGTCTTGATGCATCCAAAAGACTGACACGTGCGAACGCGTTGAAATTTAGCGCGTTTCGATGCGTTAATGTACCTCAACTGCTGCTAAATGCGTCAGATTCTAACGCATGTGTACATGATAAGCAGGGAATGCATTCATTCATGTAAGAAAACTTAGTCCTGGCCGAGTTTCACCCTAGTGCATTGTACAGCGTTTGGAAGCGTAAGAATTTGCCTCCAAAGACATATTCATAGGCAACGAGAGCATCGACTCACTCAGTCACTCTTTAAGAAACGATAAAATGAAA